GGGATCAAGCTGTTAAGCCATACTATGAAACTGTATGAAAGAGTGATTGACAGCCGCCTAAGATCAGAGTGTTCACTATCCAAAAATCACTATGGTTTTGTACAGGGCTTATCTACCACCGACCCTATGTTTGCTCTAAATACGATCGCTGAGGAGTATCGTGAGAAACTTCGGCCATTGTATGTCGCATTCTTAGACATGGAAAAGGCATTTGACCGTGTGCCAAGAGATACGATCTGGTGGAGCCTTCGCAAGAAGAATGTACCCGAACATTATGTTAACGTCATAATTGACATGTACAGGGATGCGAGGTCAATGGTACGGACAGTAGTGGGTCAGACAAAACCAATAGCAGTTGCAGAAGGTCTGCATCAAGGTTCAGTACTGAGTCCCTTTCTGTTCGGCATGGTTATAGACTCACTCACTGAGGTGGCGCAGTCCTCAGCCTCGTGGACTTTCATCTATGCAGACGACGTTGCTATCTGCACCGAGAGCCGCACAGAGCTACGAGAGGCACTCCTGTTGTGGAAACAGCAGTTACAAGCCGGTGGCCTAATATTGAGTGTTGCGAAGACACATTACATGTCTTTTAATGACCCAGATCCAGGTGACAACAGTCCGATTTCCATTGACGGTCAACTTGTAAACATGTGCGATCAATACAAGTATCTGGGTACTATGATGCACAGATCTGGAAATTTAAAATGCAACATTCAACACCGAATAGCCGCAGCGTGGCTAAAATGGCGAGAAGTAAGTGGTGTCACCTGCGATAGGAGGATGCCCGTTAAGCTCAAGGGTATGATCTATAAGACTATAATAAGGCCTGTTCTTATGTATGGCAGCGAAACATGGGCGGCAACCAAAAGGAACGTACATACCATTCAAGTTGCTGAAATGAAAATGCTGAGGTGGATGTGCGGCGTGACTAGGCTCGATAAAATCCGCAACGAGTACGTGCGTGGAAGTCTAGGTGTACGGGACATCGCCGACAAGATGCAGGAGAGTAGGCTGAGATGGTATGGTCACGTGAAAAGGAAGCCACCTGACTACGTCGGAAATTTGGCGCTACTGCTCGACCTCCCCGGTCGGAGACCTAGAGGCAGACCCAAGACAAGGTGGAGGGACGTAGTGCTGAAGGACAAGAGAGAATGCAATGTTACTGACGAGGATGTCGAAGACAGAGCGAAGTGGAGGAGTAAAGTCAGGAAAGCTGACCCCACCACCATGTGGGATAAATAGCTGGGAAGAGAGAGAGAGAGAGTTCGGAATCAAATGAACTTTGCGAATTTCAATATTAAAACCGAGTCGGTACACATAGGGAAACCTGCGTCCGATGAATAAGAAACCGCGGATGTAGTCACTCGTGATACCATTACTGAGAAATTAATTATGAAAATTACACACCCCTGTCTGTAGCCGGATCGAATATGACAGACACCAGACGTTGAAAATATTGTAATTTTAATTAATGTTCTTACACACATTCTAATGTTTGTTCTGTAATGCTTAAATTACGATTTATTCAACGTTTTTTGTTTTTGTTTTTTTTTTAATAAATTACACTGACTTGGAAACAAAGTCTTTTGAGCCAAATCAGTATCTCTGTTTCTTCATCACTTCATTTCACATTATTTATACTGAAGTCGTTGTGTTTTAAACGAGTTTTTATAGGGGTAGGAAGCACTTTGGGTTGTTTAATAGTTCGTCTAAGCGGCAGGAGACATTATTAGATAAAATATCGCACATATCACACGCGCAAAGTAAACGATGCATATTGAATTGGCGACAGTTGAACAATAAATGGTTTATGTCAAAAATATCATTCGAGTTGCAGTATGTTGCAGTTTTTACTGGTGGTAGGACCTCTTGTGAGTCCGCGCGGGTAGGTACCACCACCCTGCCTATTTCTGCCGTGAAGCAGTAATGCGTTTCGGTTTGAAGGGTGGGGCAGCCGTTGTAACTATACTTGAGACCTTAGAACTTGTATCTCAAGGCGGGTGGCGCATTTGCGCTGTGGATGTCTATGGGCTCCAATAACCACCTAACACCAGGTGGGCTTGTGAGCTCGCCCACCCATCTAAGCAATAAAAAAAATGTACATCTGTCATTTCCTATAATATTAAATATTGCTTTATTCTGTTTCAGTTTGATATTTTTACAGATACCTCGGTAATGCTTGTGTTATTTACATAGTGCTTACACAGTCCTAAATAATGAACTCATTCTCAGTCAGCACGTAGGTCAACTGTCTGGCTCCGAGCCGATAAGGCCCGACGCAAATCATTAAAGAGACTATCGGAGTTCTAACATTATAATTGGGACTGTGAAACGTTTGCGTCATAGATTGATTAGGTGCAAAGCGTGAATTAAGCCGACACAAACCGTTCTAGGCATTGTTTTTGCCACGTACCATACCGTTATTGAATTAAGTCCTCGGTATTTTGATTGCTATGACTGGCTGTTGTGTTTTAAATGAGGTTTGATTATAGAAAGTACTTACAGATTAACCCAAGTTGTTCCATAGTGCACGTCTCTATATCGTGGCCTCAATTAAAAAAAGAATTGCAATCGAAGAAGATTCCGCAAATACATATAATGAAATGGAGTTCTTCAGAATGAATAAATAATAAAATACTTAATTGCATTTTTTGTTATATAATAAGAAAAAAAACCATTTAAATCCCTTAATCTTTTAAAATTAATATTAAAAAAACACGTGTGACACGCGGGGACTGCCGCGGTAAAGCTATTGTATAGCGTTTTTTATCAACTTATGCAATTATAATTAGACAATAATAATTTAATATTAAAATAATAATAAAATGAGACCACGCTATATTTATAAACATTAACAAAAGCAAAACATTAACTGTCCCCTTCACACTCATGCGCTACACCACGCGAGAGAGAGATGGGCAAACTTTTCATGATGCGCATGCAGTGCGACGTCACGCCGCGCGCTTTTTCATAAACACTACACAAGCGCAACGCGTGAATGTGTTGAACGCGAGCTACATGGTAGGCGGAGTGGGGGGTGTTAGGTTTAATTTTCGTTACGGAATTTCTTGCTTCGGTCGCCGCGCTCAAAGCCCGCAATAACAGCTATGCAATAGCTTAAAATTAAACAGTAAACAGTAGTAATGAACTATACAAAACTGAACTCTCTTTTCACTAAATGTAAGACTTCACTACATAACACTAAATTACACTGAGGAAACATCCTTTTTTAAAACTAAACTTTTTTAAATAATAAAGGTTTTTCTTTACATACATTATTGATTTTATTACGGCGCGAACCGAGCAATATTGTAACAAATATCTGGCGTCTGTTAGTACCTATTGTTCGAAGCTGTCTCCGTAACAAAGTTTCACAGTAATTCAATCACGGCGTCTTTATCCCGAAATTTTGTTTATCTCGATCTTAGATAATGCTTTAACTTCGTTCATTACCCTCGTCCTTTAAGCCTAATCCGATTTAATTAACAACGAATATTCGTAGTAACTCTTTGGGTTTTATTGACTGTGTTAAACTCTCCTCGAATGTCCAGTCTCGAACAGACCCTGTCATTATTTATGTTCTAGTTTCGTTATTTGTGATGTAGTTTTCGAATTTCGGCTTCCGTTGGAAATAGTGTTTTATTTACACTAGTTAATTTAATTTAAATTGAATATAATTGAATTGAAAAGATATATAATACCATGGTAACCGACATAGCCCAAAGGATTGCGACATTGAAGTGGCAGTGGGCAGGACACATTGCTCGCAGAACGGATGGCCGTTGGGGCCAGAAAGTTCTTGAGTGGCGACCGCGTACTGGAAAACGTAGCGTGGGTAGGCCTCCCACAAGGTGGGCTGACGACCTATTGAGGTTCACGGGGATCCGCTGGATGCAGGCAGCGCAGGACCGGTCTTTGTGGCGAGGCTTGGGGGAGGCCTATGTCCAGCAGTGGACGTTCATGGGCTGATGAGAGAGAGAGAGAGAGATATCTATTCTTTTTTTTTTGTTTGTACATCTGTTAATTGGAGTGTCTGCGGTTCTTGTTTGTAACAACACTTATATCGCTCAACAAAAAATGATTTAGGGTAGACAGTAGATCAACGATCTCACTATTTGTGGATATTCAAACATACACTCTGCTGCCATGAAATAAATAGATAAAATTCTTTGGTGCACAAAACGAACACGTGTCTATAAAATTAATGATGTTTGAAAGAAGTTTATTACGCATATAAGTTGATTTATTGCCTTATATGTAATACGCTAGTCAAACAATAACTTTAGTACTTTTTATATTTATTATCATTACCATTGTCTACAGCGGCGCGTAACTTCGATCTATGTTGAATCACCAAAAGTTACTGCAATATTTATTATGTATAAATAAATTGTATTGTAGTATGCCCCAAACACGTAATTACGGATCCTCCTGACCCATTAACGATGCTTTAGGTACCTCAAGCACCGGTCACCGTCCTCGCCGAACCCGTCGCTTGGGACGAGTAAATTAACCCATAGACACAGCCCACTGAGTTTCTCGCCGGATCTTCTCAATGAGTCGTGTTTCCGATTCAGTGGTAGATTCTGCGAAACACTGCTCTTGCTAGGGCCAGTGTTAGCAACACTCCCGGTTTGAGCCCCGTGAGCTCACCTACTAGCTCGGTGAATCTAGAATAACCCTTTGAGGTTACTAGAATGGGTAGGGAAAAAAAAAGTAGTGTTATACTAAGGAAGGAAGGGATTGTAGTATTCCTTCGTAATTACCATTACCCACGTAATCGTATAAAGATTTACTTGTATTAAATATTTTAATCTTTCCAGCGGCTTAGATGTGCCCTTGGCATTGCTGATGTCCATTAGCCACCACCATTGGTAACCACTTCCCATCAGGAGGGTCGGTCGTACGCTCGTTTGCCTATAAGGAAAAATAGCACTTTATATAATTGATGTATTAATTAAAATGTCCGCTCTCTGCAATTTATTATTAATTTTTAACAGGAAAAACGACGATTTGGAAGACGAATTCAACACCATTCCATTAAACGGGAACGTGCACAGCGCGGGATATGCAGTTTAGTCTCCAGCACACCAAATAAGTTTACGGGAATCGCAAATAAACGATAACAAAAAAAAATACCTTCACTACATAGCATAAAACAAAATCGCTTTCTCGGTCCCTATACCCCTATGTATGCTTAAATCTTTAAAACTACGCAACGGATTTTGATGCGGTTTTTTTTAATAGATAGTGTGATTGAAGAGGTAGGTTTATATGTATAATAACATCCATTAAATAGTTGAGAAATCTATAATAAATTGCAGTTTTCGAAGCGAAGCGAGGGCGGGTTGCTAGTAATATACATTTAGCGTAGAACTGAAGAAATCTATCTATCTATATATATAAAAATGAATTGCTGTTCGTTAGTCTCGCTAAAACTCGAGAACGGCTGGACCGATTTGGCTAATTTTGGTCTTCAATTATTTGTAGAAGTCCAGAGAAGGTTTAAAAGGTAGCTAAATACGAAAATGCTCAGAATTAAATAAAAATAACAATTTTGTTTTTCCTTTGATGTTTAACCCGTCGGACGGGATTCCTTTTGTTTATTTTAAGTTTATTTTAAAAAGTGTTAGGTCTTTTATTTATCAATTGAGGCACTACGAAGTCTGCCTGGTCAGCTAGTCGTGAATAAAATAGATTCGCTTCTAAAATTTATAGTAGGCGTCAAACAAACGTAAGGATTTGCGATTCCCCGTCAACTGTAACTGCTGCGATTTTCCGTCACGTCGCCGGACTACCGGCGGCCTTAAGATTTTAGTTACCCTATTTATTTGTTAGATACCTCAGACGAGTCATCAACGATCAGGACTTAGTTCGTTGAACTCTGTAATCTCTAGAAATTAAGCAAGGACTGATATTAATATTGAAAATACTCCCAAAGTGTTTTAGTACTAGAGCTCTTGTTTTGTTTTTGCACCGTCTTAATTTTCAAAGTCAATTTTAGATACTTAAGTCGGCTTCGTATATCTTGTATTGTATGGTTCCGTAGATGTATCTATTTATATTAGTAATATGTTGTTGATGTTTAATTTGGAACAATTTGTATTCATTCGACGAAGTACGTGAATTCTGTATTGAATAAATGCACCTTTATCTTTCACTGTCGTTTTATTTCACGTTACCCGAAAAAATATTAAAAATAATTATGAGTAAGCAATATTGAATGTAATTGTTGAAATAAACTAGATTAGTTTACATTGATGTTTTAATTTGCTAGCTGTTTGTTTAATCCTTCTAACAGCCGTTAATGGTATATTAAATTTAGGAAAAGAGAATTTTAAATAAATATTTATCGTAACGATTAGTAACTTTATTATTTTTTTTCACGGCAGAAATAGCCAGCGTGGTGTTACCTACCCGTGCGGACTCACAAGAGGTCTTACCACCAGAAATTACGCAAATTATAATTTTTGCGGGTTTGATTTTTATTACACGATGGTATTCCTTCACCGTGGAAGTCAATCGTGAACATTTGTTGAGTACGTTTTTCATCAGAAAAATTGGTACCCGCCTGGGATTCGAACACCGGTGCATCGCTCAACACGAATGCACCGGACGTCTTATCCTTTAGGCCACGACGACTTCAAAACTTATATATTGTGAATTTAATATTTATGCCAATCGTATATGGTTTTATGGCGGATGTCCTGCCATTTGTTTGCGGACGTCCAACACGTTTTTTTTTATTGTCATCGTAGGCAGCACATGGTCTATCTGATGGTGAACCGTTACCGTCGCTCATGGCCGTCAAGAATGCCGGAGGCACGAGTCACTGCCTACTGCCGAGTACTCCGCAAGCCTCGTTTGAAAAAAGACATGTCGCAATTCGTACCCTTCACAAAGAAACCGAGCTGGCTTGGCTTGATTTGGCCACTGTTTTGGGACGAAATTAGTCTGGACTTGTTTGTTGGACATAAAGAGGACTGGATCAATACTAGTTTAAAACATGTGTTATTACTGGTGGTAGGACAACTTGTGAGTCCGCGCGGGAAGGTACCACCGCCTTGCGTATTTCTGCCGTGAAGCAGTAATGCGTTTCGGTTTGAAGGGTGGGGCAGCCGTTGTAACTATACTGAGATCTTAGAACTTATATCTCAAGGTGGGTGGCGCATTTACGTTGTAGATGTCCATGGGCTTCAGTAACCACTTAACACCAGGTGGGCTGTGAGGTCGTCCACCCATCTAAGCAACAAAAAAATATGTGTATTTTGAAAAGCATTGTAATGGCGTAAAAATAACGTGACCATACGTCCCGCTGTCCCCAACGACAAAAATGTCCCGCTTTCATTTATTGTTACTTATCCCAAATCCTTATTGTATTACAAAATGTATAGTAAAGCAACTCCAATTTTGCTGTACAAAGGTAGATTTTTTTATTGCGAAATTATTTATAAATATTATTTTAAGGGCAAGTTGGTGTAAGAATTAAGATGTACCTAAGTGAGGGTAAGATACCATAATAAGTCATTTTTAAACCATATTTTTTATTTTGCACTTAAATATTACATCTTACCCCGACGTACCCTATATATGTATTTATTTATATACGAAATTCCGTAGGCGTCCCGATTTGACAAGAAAAAAAAAGTCACGTTACGTATAAAACATAACGCGTAATCGCTGTAAGAGATTGTACAGTATTTTTCTTCTTATCTATCGCATAGATGGACGCACAAGCTGCTGGTCTACCTTGGGTAAAGTATTTTGGGTTTTTTTTTATTGCTTAGATGGGTGGACGAGCTCACAGCCCATAGACATCCACAACGTAAATGCGCCACCCACCTTGAGATATAAGTCTTAAGGTCTAAAGTATAGTTACAACGGCTGCCCCACCCTTCAAACCGAAACGCATTACTGCTTCACGGCAGAAACAGGCAGGGTGGTGGTACCTACCCGCGCGGACTCACAAGAGGTCCTACCACCCGTAAAAATGAGACTTCCGTTAATTCAACTAGCAATACCAAAATAGTTACGCGCAAATTGTGCACCTTCATTTGCGTTTCTCTAAACAAAAAATTACAAAATATCGCAAGCCTTAAAGTTAAAATTCGTTCCCCTTTTAAAGTTTAGTCTGCGAACTTTTATAAGCAGTTCACGCAAAAGCCGATACCTTACTCAAAGGAAGTCCTAAATTGATTCCGTGAAACCAGCTGTTGCCGTGTAAATACACTAGGGAAAGGACCTGCATCATTTGAATTTTTACGATGCCGAATGTTCGCTGTTCTTTTATCTGATACGATATACATATTATGTGGTATCGGATACGTTGTACATATTATTTATTTATGTCACTTCATGTAATATTTACATTGACGGACTTAAGAGCTAAGGCATTATTTTTTTTTATTTTTTTATTGCTTAGATGGATGGACGAGCTCACAGCCCACCTGATGTTAAGTGGTTACTGGAGCCCATAGACATCTACAACGTAAATGCGCCACCCACCTCGAGATATAAGTTCTGAGGTCTCAGTATAGCTACAACGGCTACCCCACCCTTCGAACCGAAACGCATTACTGCTTCACGGCAGAAATAGACGGGGCGGTGTTACCTACCAGTGCGAACTCCCAAGAGGTCCTACCATCAGTGAACATTTCTACTAGTCAACCGAAGGTAGTGCAGAGTAAATAATGGTATATGCATTGAAGTTTAAATTAAAATTATGTAGTGTCGGATACGATATACATATCATGTGGTATTGGATATGATATAATGTTTTATCAAATGTGATATACATATTGAGTCAGCATCAACCGCGGCCCGGTGTTCATTTGTTTGTTTAACTGACTAATAATAAATATATTTGGTATTTTCTTCGGCTTTCGCGAATATTTCACTTTTATATATATGTATATTTTATTTATTTATTGCATAGATGGGTGGACGAGCTCACAGCCCACTAGTGTTGAATGGTTACTGGAGCCCATAGACATCTACAACGTAAATGCGTCACCCTACTTTAGTTTTGGTTATAAAAGTAATAAACGAAGTGACGGTATGTACACCTGATGGAAAGTGTCTGAATTCGCCTGTCGACATAATTCAGTTTCAGTATCATCTTCACCGTCGGTCTACCGAGCAATTTCATCTGCTCGGTGGAAAATCTTCCCTTTGTTGTAATAAACCCACTTACAAAATTCAGTATGTATACAGCTTGTAGTTTGGTTTTCTCGTTTGATTGCTTAATTAAGTGTAATAAACCGAATTGCATATTTTGATCAAACGATACTACGGCTTACAGATTGCCAAGAAATAGTTTTGCGCAATGCGAATGCTTCCGATCGACGCACGATGTTTTGGTAGAAAAAATATGTACGTCGGAGACGGTCATTAGTTTAGTAGCTTAACGAAACGCAGCACGATTCCCGAGAGAATATGATAGCATGATTGCGGTATCGTCGGAACTCGGCTAACTTCGTGTTACGACAAAGCCTAGCCGATGGAGGCGCGTAGACGCCATCACACTTACCAACCGCGGCCCGCACCAACTTGAGACCCCTTCAGGTTATACAATCCCGATTCTGCAGGATAGCCGTCGGAGCACCATGGTTCCAGAGGAACGTGGACCTCCACGATGACCTGGAGCTCGACCCCGTCAGTAAGTATCTACAGTCGGCATCGCTGCGCCACTTTGAGAAGACGGCACGACATGAGAACCCTCTTGTCGTCGCCGCTGGAAACTACATACCCGATCCTGTAGACCGAATGATAAACCGTCGACGTCACCCAAAGCACGTCATCACGGATCCTCCTGATCCATTAACGGTGCTTTTAGGCAATACAAGCACCGGTCACCGTCCTCGTCGAACTTGTCGCTTGCGACGAAGGGCTCGACGAGCGAATTAACCCACAGACATAGCCTACTGAGTTTCTCGCCGGATCTTCTCAGTGGGTCGCGTTTCCGACCCGGTGGTAGATTCTGCGAAGCACTGCTCTTGCTAGGGTCAGTGTTAGCAATTCTCCGGTTTGAGCCCCGTGAGCTCACCTACACAAGCTAGGGTAAGCCTGAAATAGCCTCTCAAGGCTATCAGCATAGGTAGGGAAAAAAAAAAAAAACTTACCAACCAACTTTCTTGAAGAGCGGTGCCTCCGTCCTAAGAACTGTCATTCGTTTTCATTTGCTAACGTCAAGAGAAGATTTCTAAATTGTTCTAAGAAAAC